AACTAACTTTTAGTTTTCTATTTTTTCTTAGTTTTCTATTTTTTGGTTTTTTTAAAAAATGGAAGTTTACCAAAGAAGATAAAACCATGCTCATTATTTTAATAACAGGTAGTGCTTTTTTTTTTATTCTACTTTTTTTTTATTTGTGGGGAATTTGATATTACAGGATATAGAATAAAATTCTATCATAATTCTATCATTAATATTAGTAGGGTCAATAAACTACTGATGGAAAAATATTCCTTTTTCGTCCAGTTGTTTTTCTAAAAATTAAAGGTTTTTTGATAACAAGAAAAAATAATAATCTGACGAAAGAAAACTGTTAGTAATTCTTTAATTTCATAAAAAAAAAAGAATAATTTTATTAATATGGATTATTCGCACCAGGAAATCGAAAAAAAATGACAAAAATATTGGGAGAAAAACCAGAATTTTTTTACTGATTTGACAGATAACTCCAAACCTAAAAAATACATTTTGGCAATGTTTCCTTACCCGTCGGGTAGTGGTTTACATGTCGGACATATCCGCAATTATACGATTACTGATGCCTTAGCCCGTTTTTATCGCTTAAAGGGATATAATGTACTTATGCCAATTGGCTGAGATGCTTTCGGTTTACCAGCCGAACAATATGCCATTCAAACTGGTAATCATCCGGCAACTTTTACCCAAAAAAATATTGAAAATTTTAAAAATCAATTATTAAGTCTAGGTTTTTCTTATGATTGGAGTAAAGAAATAAATACTAGCGACCCTAATTATTACCACTGAACCCAATGGATTTTTTGTCAAATTTATCGTCAAGGACTAGCCGAACATAAAGAAATACCGGTTTACTGGTGTGAAAAGTTAGGGACGGTGCTTGCCAATGAGGAAATAAAAAATGTTGCTGGGAAAAAAGTTTCGGAACGGGGAAATTTTCCCGTAATAGAAAAAAAAGTCCCGCAATGAGTTTTAAAAATTACTAATTATGCCCCCCAATTATTAGAGGGTTTGGAGGGATTGGACTGACCTAACAGCATTAAAAGTTTACAAAAAAACTGGATTGGACTAACCAAAGGAACAATTATTAATTTTCCATTAGCAGAAAAAAATCTGTCTATTTCTGTTTTTACTACTCGTCCCGATACTATTTATGGTGTGGTGGCAATTGCTTTATCCGCTAATCACCCTTTAATTTCGGCAATTGTTTTGCCTAACTATCAAAAAAAAGTTGCTGATTTTTGTCTTTATTGAAGTGATAAAAAAGAAAGTAAAGAAATTGCGGACGAATTTACGGGCAGTTATTGCCTTAACCCACTTAATGAGGAAAAAATACCAATTTGGATAACTAATTTTGTCATTAGTGATTACGGCACTGGCGCGGTAATGATTGCGCCTTATTTTTCCCAAGAAAGTGAGTGAGACAAGTTTCCTCCCCAAACTAATTTATTTACCGAACAAGAAAAAAAACAAAATAGAGAAATTGATTTTGCTTTTGCAAAAAGACACTACTTATTGAGGACAAAATGGAAGGAGGATTGAACCTTACCAATAATAGAGGAGAATTATCAAACAAAGCTAAAAGAATATCAAAAAGACCAAGAGATAGAAAAAATTAACCAGCAATTAGAAAAAAAACAAACCGGTAAAAAAACTGAAATCTACCACTTAAAAGATTGAGTTTTTTCCCGACAACGCTATTGAGGTGAACCCATTCCCGTTATTCATTGAGAAGACAATAAGAAAGAATTACTAAAAGCGGAAGAATTGCCGTTAAAATTGCCTTCTTTAAAGTATTTTGCTCCTGACCCTCGTTATTATGCTCCTTTGCAAAAAGATGAAAATTGGGTAAATACAATAAGGGGAGACAAAATAAAAGGAAAAAGAGATGTCAATGTTATGCCACAATGAGCCGGTTCTTGCTGATATTATGTTGCTTTTTTATTAAAAAAAAATAACTCTTACTTACCACTCAACAGCAAAACAGCCCAAGAAATTATAAAAAACTGGTTGCCGGTCGATATTTATATTGGTGGTCAGGAACACGCAAACCTCCATTTACTTTATGCTCGTTTTTGGCACAAAATTTTACACAAAATAGGAATAGTTAATTGCTCAGAACCCTTTCAGAATTTTTTCCCCCAAGGCATGATTTTAGGAACCGACGGCGAGAAAATGTCGAAATCACGAGGGAATGTGGTTAACCCAGATGAGTTAGTAGAAAAATACGGAGCCGACGCCTTACGACTTTACGAAGTATTTTTAGGTCCGCCCGAACAAACTACTAAATTTGACCCGGATGGTGTGCGAGCCACTAAAAAATGGTTAGACCGAGTATATAATTTATTTACTTTACACCGGGGAAAATTTACCACAAATAGTGCTAATAGTGCGGATAAACAATTAAAAATCTGCTACCAAAAAACAGTAAAAAAAGTTAGTGATTATTATCAAAATTTTAAACTTAACTTAGTGGTTTCCTCCCTGATGACTTTTATTAATGAATGTTATAAGTCTAACGCGATACCAATCGATTATGCTTTGGTTTTTTGTCAATTATTAAACCCGCTAGCACCTCACCTTAGTGAAGAATTATGAAGTTATTTCCAGGAAAAACCGATTAGTGAAAGCATTTGACCACAAGTGGAAGAATTGCCAATACTTTCCTCACAAATAAACATAGTGGTTCAAATTAATGGCCAAAAAAAAGTAGTAATTTCCCTAAAACAAGAGCAAAATCAGTCCGAAATTGAAGCAATGGCCAAAAGTGACCCGAAAATAAGTAAAATATTAGGAGAACAAAGAATTATAAAAGTTATTTTCATTAAAAACAAGTTAATTAACTTTGTTATCTAACTAAAAAATTATGTCAAACTTTCTTAAAAAAACAATTTTCTGAGTTATTTTAATAGCACTAATGCTCGGAATGGTTATATTTATTAATTCAAAGATAGACGGGAAAAAGAAGAAAAGTTCGGAAAATAATCCAAACCAAAAATCACCTCAACCGCCGAATAATGATAACCCGTCGGACAATCCCGAACCAGTGCCACCAACTGATACCGAAAATTGATGACTAACGGATGAGGAAATTAACCACGCTTACCAAGAAATTGAAAAAGAATTAGGCAATTCCACCGAAATAAAATTAGTTAGCCCCAGTGTAGTGCGAGTTATCCAAGCAGGTGGTGAAATTAGCGAGGATTTGAAAAAAGCCAAAATTATATTCTTTCCGATAAATAATTCTGAAAACCATGAAGCAGGCGACAGCGGAAATCATTGGACTTTGTTGGTTCTTCATAAGGAAGGAAAGATTTTGGGCGGCTATCATTATAACTCTCTCGACTCTTCTATTACTGATAATGCCAAAAAACTAACTGATAAATTTCGGCAAAAATTAAATATAAAGGAGGAGAAACATGTACTCTATCCAGCAAAAAATCTTCCCCAGCAAACTGATGGTGTCGATTGCGGAGTTTATGTAATTGCTTTTACACGGGCTTTGATTAAGAGATTTCGAGAAGACAATTCCTATCATAATTGGGGTTTGAAAGAGGAAGATTTAATTTTCACCATTGCCGAAGAAAGACAAAAATTAAAAGCGGCGGGTTTTCCCAAAAAGGATAATATCGGTGATGACGTTGAATATTTAGAAAGTGAGGAAGAACTTATTTCTCAGTGATGACCCACCAAGGATATCCCTTACCATCCACTGAGGAAATGTGTTCGAAATACTTGAAATTTAGATAGAGAAAGTGGCGAACCGTATGACCATGCCGATAAATTTAAAGAATTTAGCAAAAAAGTTCGTTTATTAAGTGGCACAAGCAAAATAGAAAAAGAAAAACTTAACCAAATCTACCGAATTAAAAAGATTTTAAAAGCATGTAGTTTGCCGTTAGAGGAATACAAAAAAACCAAATCTTTTAATGGTAAAGACAATTTTCGGGAGGACAAAATAACCGCAGAAGAAAGCCAATTTGTGAGAGAAAATATAAACGAGGAAACAGTTGAGGAAATAAACAATTTATATAATGGTTATTTTTAAAATAACTAATAAATTAAACTATAATGAAACTAACCGAAAGACAAAAAAAAATCTTTTTATTCTCTTCCTTGATTTTTTTCTTCGCAGTAGCAGTGTTAACCACTGCCTTTTTGCTGGCGAATAAAAACCCCACTCCGACTTCTCGGTCAGCTCCAAGTGATAGCCCGAATTTAACTAACACCAAAACCGAAGTGATTACTACCATTGAAAGAAAGCTGAGTGCTGACAATATCAAAAATGATGATTTGTTACAACAACTAAAATCTGATCATAGCTTAACTGCTGGGGAAAATAATTGAAAAGAATATCTGAAAGGGGCAACTACTTCTGTTGACTTAGAAGTTCGCAAAAAAAGGATTTTGGATATTGTTGCCAAATTAACAGCGACTCCAAATCCTCAACCAGGACCAACGCCAAAAACTCCACCAACTCCAACTGATCCAGGAAATCCTACTCCTACTCCTACTCCTACTCCTACTCCTACTCCTACTCCTACTCCTACTCCTACTCCTACTCCTACTCCTACTTCCGACATACAGTGGATAGCCGATGATGCAGTAGATTTTTCCTACCAGAAGATAGCAAAAAAAAATCCCTCATTAGATGTCGATTTCCCAGGTTCTACTCCTTTTTATTATGCAATAGAAAGTTGAAAAAGACAAAAAGACAGAAAGATGATTGACGATATTGCTGTTAATCTCACAAAAAAAAATATTACCTTTCTTCCTGCAAATTTAGGCAGAGGTCATTGAACTTTGTTGGTTTATAACAGAAATAATAACATTTTTTATTACTACAACTCGACCGGTAGTGGTAATAGTATTGACTCTAATTCTCAGGAATTTTGTGAGAAAATTTTTGAAACAACTGACATTACTAGTAGCAAAAAAGGCGAGATTAAACCAAAAACAAGTCCACGACAAAGCGATGGATATAATTGTGGCTTATATACTATTGAAAATATGAGTTATTTTCTTAGCAAATTAGTCAAGGGAGAGGACCCCGACCAAGAAAGTTTTTGAGAAATTCCGTCAGATAAAAGAACGGAGATAAGCAGTAATATCACCAAAAAAAGAAGTGAGTTGCGAGAAGAATTTATTAATGAATATATACCGGCTGGTAGTGGCGGAAAGTTGAATAAAGATAAAAATTACAAAATTTGATATAGAATACCTCCCTATGATAAAAATGCGGATGAATAGTATTCATAAACTAAATTAACATTAAAATAGTACATTATGAAAGCCCAAACATATATTAATCAAAAGTATCAAACAAAAGAACAAAAAAAGGACATTGCGGAGTTGGATTTACGCAATCTTAATTTAGAAGGCGATTTAGATTTTGTCGATTTTGACAATCTAGAAGAAGTAGACATTAGTGGTAATCCTAAATTAGGCAAGTTAATGGTAAATGGCGAAGTTTGTTGATGAAAGTTTGCTGCCAAAATAAATGCCCAGGAATGACTAAATAAAAAATGTCCTTATCGGCAACAGGTAAAAGAAATTAGACTAGAAAAAGGAATAAAGTTTAATGGAGAATTGGTTATTAATGATTTTCCGCAACTAGAAGAAATAATAGTAGATAATCTGATTACTCAGGATTTAAGTGAACTTCAAGTAATTAATTGCCCTAACTTAAGGAAAATTTATTGTCTTAGCGCCCAGTTTACAAGTCTTAAATTAAGTAATCTAAGGAAACTGACTGAAATAAAATTTGGCAATAATAATTTTAAACTTATGAAATTAGACATCGAGACTTGTCCAAATTTAAAGGAAGTTAAACTTCCTGGTTCGCAATTTTCCAGCCTAGACCTAAGCGGTGCTCCTAATTTGGAAGTTATTGATCTTTGTTTTGGTAAACTTACTTCACTAAACGTTAGTGGTTGTTCTAATTTAAGAAAGATTGAGTGTTGAAATAACTTACTTACTAATTTAGATTTGAATAATAGCTCTCGGTTGGAATGATTGGATGTTAGAGGAAATAATTTCTCTAAACAAGATTTAACGTTTTTAAGTCATTTAGTCAATTTAAAGTATTTGAAGTTAGGAAATTGAAATGAAAGAACAAAAAATTTAGGTGTTATTAATCGTTTTTATGATTCTTTAGAACCTCTAAAAAATTTGACTAAATTGGAGCACCTCAGCGTTGCAAATACAGATGTCGATGGCGACTTAGAATATTTACCAAACAGCCTTAAAAGTTTTTGTGGCCTTGGAGAGGAAATAGAAGGAGAAAACTTTTTGGAAAAACTCCGAGCTTTCAAAACTAGAATAAAAAATAAGTTGAAAATTAGGTTAGAAGAAAGTGAAAAGAAACGAAAAGAGAACTTAGAATTATTTTTGAAAATCCAGAATAAGAAAAATGAGTTAAAGCGGCTAAAGGCGGCTACGAAAGAGAAGTTGGAAGCCAACCAAAAATCATTTCTCAATACTCTTCTAACTTCCCAAGAACAGATTGTTCGACTAGAGGAAAGTAACATCACGCAATTAATTGATGCCGAAGAAATGAAATTAAATGAGGCTAAAGAAAAATTAAAAGAGAGGATTATACAAGAAGAAATAAGCAGTCTTTGCCAAAAAAAATTAGAATTAACTAAATTGGAAATGAAATTAGAGCAATTACAGAAACAAGAATTCGAAGCCAGCCAAGAAGTTCCACAATCAAATCAGTAATCAGTACTAAAATAAATTTCTCGCCCTCTACTTATCTACTACTAGTCGTTATTATTACTACTATCACTGCTCCCTTTTTTTATTATTTGGGAATATTTCTTATTCATTAAATTAAGAATCTTTTCGTGGTGTTCTTCTTGGGCAAAAGATAAATAAATCTTTACGTTCTCACCACGGGCACTTACTTCGCAATAACTTAAAGAAAAGGAAGGTAAATTATTGTATAAAATGAAACTTATCTCCCGCTCGTAGCGGCTTTTATTTTTGGCTTGGGAAAAATTACTTTTGTTAAACAACATTTTTTTTCACTAGCTGAAAAGCTACTATTTTATCACCTTCTTGAAATTTGTCAAATCCTTTTAAGACAATTCCACATTCTTGGCCGCTGCTGATTTCGTTTTTTTCTATCTTGTTACTTTCTAAACTTTTAATTTCACCGACAAAAACTTTATTTTCTTCCTTGCCTCGAAGGACGCAAACGCGTTTATTACGGCTAATTTTACCACTAACTACTTGGCAACCAGCAATGTTGCCTTTGGAAAATTCAAAAACTACTTTTACTACCGCTGTTCCTACTATTTCTTCTACTTCCTCTACCTCTTGCTGATTATTAATAATCTCATCTAATTTCTCGCCAATTTCATATATAATTTTGCTGCTAAAAAAAGGGATGCTATTTTCTTTCAAAGTTTTTATTATATGAGTTTGGGAGAGATGGCAGCCAAACGTTAGAACTACACTACTAGTAATTTTGGTTAAATCAAGGGCAAAACTATTTAAATTTCCAACGGTGGTATAAATGATTGAAAAATTGAAATTAGGGATAGTTTTTTTTTTTATTAATTCAATAAGTGCTTCCAGGCTGTTTTGACTATCAGCCATCAGAACTAAATTAACGTTTTTTTTCTCGCTGGGGGGAGGAATGATTGATTTCTTCTTTTTTTCCCAATAATTGGCTAATTCATTCTCTATACTGACGATGGTTTTTTCATTATTTATTACCAAAAATCTGTCTCCTAATTCAGCCTGAATATTCAAGCCAATAACCCGTGCTATATCACTCGGACAGACAACAGCAATTTTTTCACTTTTGCCATGAATACTAAGCATCATTTTTACTTTACTAAATTTTCCATTGAGAAAAATGATGTCATTTTCTTTTAATTGGCCGTCTTGAACCAATAGCTCATTTATTCGGGAGCCAGTTTGGGAATTCATATAACTATCAATTACTACTCCCTGAGCTGGGCGGCTGGGATTGGCTTTAAAATCGGCAAAAAGAAGAATGTTTTCCATTAGGTGTTGGGTGCTAACTTTTTCCCGTGCGTTACCAGAAATCATTATTATTTCTCCTCCTCATTCAATGGGGGTTAAGTTTTTTTCTTGGAGTTGGGTTCTAATTCTGTTCAAGTTGGTTTCGTTGTCAGTTTCGTCTGGTTTTTTGTGATTAATAAAGACAATAACCGGTAATTTATACTCGTGAAGGTAATCGATAATTTCGGAAGTCTGCGACATTATTCCATCCTTAGCATCAATTACTAATACTACAAGGTCAGTTAAAGAAATGCCTCGTTGACGCATTTTAATGAAGTCACCATGCCCTGGTGTATCTAAAAAAATAATTGTTTGCCCTTGAAATTCTCCTTGGGAAACAGTAACTTTTTGAGTTATTCCTCCTGCCTCTTTTTTTTTGAATTTGGGTCTGGCGAATAGTATCTAACAGAGTTGTTTTGCCGTGGTCAATATGACCCATAATACTAACAATAGGAGGCCGGACAACTAATTGTCCTTTTTGCTCACTTTTTTTCAGATATTCTTGAATAATCTGGCTAAAATTTATTCCGCTTTTTTTTTTTATTCCTACCCTGATATTTCGACAATAATCAGTCAATAAATCCCAAGACAATGATTGATTACGACTTACACTTTGCCCTTTTTCTCAAAAAAAAGCGGAATAAATTTTAGCCAGATTATTCAAGAATATCTGA